CACGCGGCGCTGGGAACCGTTCCCCCGCGCGCGGGTTCCGCCCGCCCCGCCGGCCCCCGCAGCCCCGCCGGCTGGCCCAGGGACGCGGACCGGGATGAGCCGGGAGGCACCTTCCAAACCACCCAGTCCAGCCCCTGCCATGTGCAGGGACACCTTCCACTAGGCCGGGTTGCTTAGCGCACCGTCCAACACGGCCTTGAACGCTGCCTGGGATGGGGCAGCCACAGCTGCTCTGGGTAACATGTTCCAGGGCCTCACCACCTTCAGGTGGGAAGGAATTCATCCCTATATCCAGCCCAAACCTGCCCTCTGTCAGTGTAAAACAGCTGCTTCTCCTAGTAAGGTCCCTGTTGTAAGCAGCCAGGAAGATCCAGAGCTTGCTTGTGCTGTCTCCGCCTCACCTAAATTTCACTTTAACTTCGCTGTTCCCAAGTTTTCACAGCTCGGCTTGCTCCCTGCTGGAATTTCCCTCATCGGGGAAAGCCTCTAGAGATATTCACTTAATAATTATAAATTTAAACTATAAACAGGAAGTACATGGGCCTTCTTTCTTTCCATGCTCTTTCCTGTGGTGGCTCTCATTTTTAGCGGGATCTGAGATGTTATCAACACATGTATTGAGATGTATCAGTATCATGCACTTGAAAACTTGGGAACAGGTAAGTCAAAGGGAAGTTTAGGTCCTATTTCATTTAAAGGGAAATTTAGGTCCTATTTCAGAGCTATGAAGCAGAGAGGGAAGACGCACAGGGTAAGATGATGTCATGGTTTAGAAATTATATTCTCAAATGTCGTGTTCACACTGAAACTACTCCAGATCCCACATGACTCGAACACTTCCCTGTCCCCTTGTCCCTCCCCTGTGGGTGGCTGGAGAGCAGAACTGGAGGCACAAAAGGTAAAGATCATGGACTGAGAGAAGAACAATTTACTGGAAACAGCAGTGAGACAAGAAATGAACAGTAACTCCAACAATACTAATGACAGAGGGTACAAGAAAACAGAGGTTGTCGCTCACCCTGTGGAAATCCCCATCAATGCCCAACTGCTCCCTTTGCAGTGCTGTCCCAACCTGCAAGCAAGCCTTTCTCATGCCCTGTCCCTGGAAAGTGACAGGAGGTGGCATAGAATACCCTCTAGATCCTGGCCCTGGCTCCTCCTGGCTACAGCAGAAATTAACCCTGTCCTGGCTGGAACTGGGACAGATGGAAACAGTGGTGTTTCTAAACGTCTTTGCTCACAGAATGAGACACCATTCTGACATGCCAGAGAGACTCTAGGTTTGAGACAGTTTATACATAGGAATGTGGAGGAGGGAGGTAGAGAAAAAAAATTTTATACCCTTTATCTTTCCCTTCTCAGTGCAAGGAGACATGATGGAAACCACAGGTTGGGTTTGCTGTGAGTCTGTGGGGGCTCTCTGACCTGAGACCTGACACCTTTCCCCAAAAAATACCCAGACTTTGCAGGGTATGGGAAAAGGTACTTACTCTGCTCTGTCAATGTCTCAAAGAGGTGAACCAAATTCCCAGCAAATGCCCCAGATCACAGCCACCCACGACCACATCACACACAGCATAGCACAGCACCAAGGAATCAGCAGAGAGTGAGACAGAGGCTGCTGTATAACAGAGAAGCATGTCATCACCTCCCTGAACATACTAGAGTGACCAAAATAGCAGCAAACCTCATGTTTCTGGTTATCACATCAAGTGAGCATCTCCCTTTTTTTCACCATCTTTCTCTACCTGACCCCGGCCTTTTTCTTGCTCTGATTTAGTACCTGTGTTTTCTCACTCTCATGGGGGTGATTTGGGCTTCTGCACAGTCAACAGCTGGATGAATATGAGCCAGCTGTGTGCCCTGATAGCCAAGAAGGCTGATGGCATCCTGGCCTGTATCAGAAATAGTGTGGCCAGCAGGACCAGGGAGAGTGATGATCCCCTTGTACTCAGCACTGGAAAGGGTGCACCTCAAGTGCTGTGTCAAGCTCTGGGACGCTGAGGTGCTGCAACTTATCCAAAGAGCAACAGAGCTGATGAGGGGTCTAGAGCACAAATCTTATGAGGAGCAGCTGAGCGAGCTGGAGATGTTCAGCCAGGACAAAAGGAGGCTCAGGGAAGACTTTATCACTCTACAGCTTCCCTGAAAGGAAGTTGTAGCAAGGTGGTGTCAGTTTCTTCTCCCAACAAACAAAAGATGGAACAAGAGAAAAAGGCCTTAAATTGGAGCAGTGAAGTTTTAGATAAACTGTCTTTACACTGTCAAGTGTTGGAAGAGGCTTCCCAGGGAAGTGGTGGACTTACTATCCCTACAGGTACTTAAAAGATATGGGGATGTAGCACTTGGTGACATGGTTTAGTGGTGGACTTGGCACTGCTGGGTTAACTTGATGATCTCAAAGATCTTTTCCAGCTTCAGCAATTCTATGGTTTTACACTGCAGTATGGCAGGAAATAATTAGTAGGGCCTTGGCAGGATATTTACTATAGCTATTTTAAACACCATTGCTGCACTGCACACTGGGCATGGGAAACAGCTCTGCTTGCCCTGTATCAGGCACCACGGGGGCTGTCTAATACTGCTGGAATGGGAGCACTTGGCACCACAGATTCTTGCCAGCTCCACTCCCAAGCTTTTTCCCAGCAGGACAGACCTCATATTGCGTGACCCCATTTCACAACACTGCAGCAGACCACACCAGTACCAGAGCTGTGGAGGAGGAAACTCCCTGCTCCACCAACCCAAAACCAGAAACAAAGACTCCTTGGGGTACACATTGCCCTGCTCAGCCACCTTCCTGGTACCCTACAAGGGGACGCCCTGTTGGAGATCCTCCCTTCAGAATGGCACTGAGGGGGCTTCCAGTGCTTTGAGAGGGGGTCATTCTCAGCCCTGCAGCATCCCTTGAGCAAGAAGGCAAAGGTTCCTTGCTGGGGATGCCCGTTGCCGGGCCAGGAGGCCTGCAGCTGGTATAGACCCACAGTGCAGGGGATCTGGTTGCCATGTGTGGATGCCACTATGGCTCCATCTCTCTGGAGGCCCAGCTGGGAGATGCTTTCTTGGGCAGGGCCATGGCAGGGGGCAGACAGGGCAGAGCTTTTTCCCCTTGACATTGCTTATTTTCCAGGAGCTATATGGAGGATAGCTTTATTTACCATGTCCTCTGTGTGTGTGTGTCAAAACAAGCAAAAGAAGATTTCATGAAACAGATGTTCAGTGCTGCTGTGTGTTCTGATGTCTCCTGCTCAGCCTCAGACCTGGCTGCTGCTCTGAGGGACATCCAGATATAGGATGAAAAAATCGCAGCCAAGAACCTGCAGGTAAAATTATACTTTGTCATATTTGTGAGATGAAATTATCTGTCAGCTCTGCTGATCTCTTCCCCCTCTACCCCCCTAATAAAAACCATCACAAACATATTGAATATACTCAGTAGCCCATTGCTAGATATAAATATACACAGGATAGTAGGATAGATTTTTTTCCCCACAAAAAAACAAACCTTCTTCCAATCCACATCTTATAAGTAGCATGATAAATAGAATGATACATGGTCAGTTTTTTGTTCATGGGTCCTCCTCCACAACTGGAAATACAGTATTTTCTTTATCTCTTTCCCTTGGATGAACACAAAAACAGTCTTTGCTGATACTCTCAGGTTTTTTCACATGTTTGCATATTCATCTAATAATGGAAAATAGTACATATCTTTTCACAGATCTGACAATAAGCATTCTTGTTTTCCCTCTGCTGTTTAATATCCCCTCAGGAAATGAATGAGTGGTACAAAACCAGATTTACTGACTTTAATAAAGCTTCCACAAAACATGCTGAGAATGTGAGCCATTTCAGGGAAGGAATAGGGAAAAGAAGTGTAAGTGGAATTGAAAACCCCTTCCAGCTTATGTTATGTCACTTCTAATGGAAGCCTTTGTTATGATTTCACTAAGTTAGGTAATGTGACAGTTGTCTGATATTTTTCCCAATAATGGTGGTCTTTTAGGCTGTATTTTGCAACAAGCGAGGTGGATTGGAGGAGTAGTGACCCTGGATGTGACCCCATGTGTCAAATCAGCAGGAAGTAGCCACAAATAATATTTATACATCTGAAATAAAAATTCTGCTGCTCAGTAATGCATGTATCTGAACATAAGGACTCTGTTGTTTTGAATGACAATGTCAGGGGCAAAGAATTTATATTGGAGAATTTTTTATTTGAAGCACCATCACACACACTTCCCCTTCCACACAAAAAGAAGATTCCTGCAACCACTTAATATTTTACGTAGAAGACATTTAGAATAATTTCATTATATGAGGGAAGGACCTTAGAATAATGAGGGTATCGTTTACAACATGAGGATAAATAATGAGGGAGAGAGGTGTTATTAAAACCATCAGCTCTTTTGTGAGAATCCCTTGTTGAGGATAAATGGTTCAGCCACCTCCTACTGACCTTTGCTTAAAATAATTTTAAAACTCAGCATTCCCACATAGTAGCCTGTTATTTCAAAGGGTTTTCCTTTCTGGATCACAGACACTCTGGCATTTAACCCCACCTCCTCTCAGTAAAATATGCAGCAGGAGCATATGCAGGATGGAGTTTCATATCCAATGTTATGTTGGTTTGATTTTTTTCCTCTTCTGGTCAGCTCCTCCTGTATCCTCCACTCCAATGGCTCATGTTTTCCATGCAGGGAAGTAGCCTTTAGGTCTGGATCCTGAGCAGCTCACCCTGCCTAGGCTGAGACAGTTATTCAGGCTGTCCTTCAAACCCTGGGAGCTACACAGATCAACCTGCAGGCCAGACACTCATTCACATGGGGCATGTGCCCCATCAGGGAGCGCTTTGCCCTCAGGAAAGACCAAGCTTCCAGGGTCACTCCATTGGAGACCTCTGCTGGGGCATGAACAGTGGACTGAAGGTCTCTTAGGTAGCCTGTACCTCACAGGGAGAGTTTGCCTCTCTCTCACCTCTTTGCAAACATTCAGTTAAACAAGCATTAAGCAGTGATGGACAATGAGAGGCTTCCTGAGAAGTCAGGAGGCTGACCACAGCTGCTGCCCAACAAGGACAGGAGACCTCTTTATCCTACCCACATCCCTGGGTGCCTTTCTGCACCCTAAGCAACTTTTCATAGAATCATAGAATCATTACGACCTCCGAGATCATTGAGTCTAACCTTTGAGCAAACACCACCATGTCAACAAAACTGTAGCACAAATTGCTACATCAGTTGTTTTTTTAACAGTTCCAGAGATGATGACTCCACCACTTCCCTGGGCAGTCTGTTCCAATGCTTAACCACCCTTTCAGTGAAAAATTTCTTTTTTTATGTCCAGCCTCAACCTCTCCTAGAGCAGCTTGAGGCCATTCCCTTTATCATGTCATTAGTTGCCTGGGAGAAAGACCAATCCCCACCTTGCTTCCACCACCTTTCAAACAGCTGTAGAGAGTGATACAGTCTCTCCTGAGTGCCCTTTTTTCCCAGGCTGAACATCAACCTCTCCTCATGATTTACTCTCTAGACCCTTCACCAGCTTGGTTGCCCTTCTCTAGACACACCCTAACACCTCAATGTCCTTGTAATGAGGGGCCCAGAACTGATCAAGGACTTGAGGTGTGGCCACACCAGTGCCAGGTACAGGGGGACAATCACTTCCCAAATCCTGCTGGCCACGCTACTGCTGGTACAGGATAGGATGCCACTGACCTTCTTGACCACCTGGGCACATGCTGTCCTGTTGCCAGCTATTGACCAGCACCCCCAGTTCCTTTCCCACTGGACAGCTTTCCAGTCACTCTGCCCCCAGGCTGTATGCTGCTTGGCATTTTTGTGACCCACGTGCAGGGCCCAGCACTTTGCCTTATTGCACTCCATAGAGTTGGCCTTGGCCCATCAATCCAGCCTATCCAGATCTTTCTGCAGTCTTCCTACTCTCCAGCAGATCAACACTCTCACCCAACTTAGTGTCATCCACAAACTTACTGAAGGTATACTTGATCCCCTTGTACAAATCATTGATAAAAATATTAAACAAAATTGAGCCTTGGGGAAACCCCACTACTGACTGGCCCCCAACTGAATGCAACACCATTCACCACCACTCTCTGTGCACAGCCAACCAGACAGTTCTTAGTCCACCAAAAAGTGCTGTCCAAGCCGTCGGCTGCCAGCTCCTCCAGGAGAATGCTGTGGGAGACAGTACTGAAATCTTTACTGAAGTCCAGGTAGACAACATCCACAGCCTTTCCCTCATCCAGTAGATGGGTCGCCTGTTCATAGAAGGAGATCAGGTCAGTCAAGCAGAGCCTACCTTTCCTAAACCTGTGCTGACTGGGCCTGATGTCCTAGTTGTCCTGTACGTGCCAAGTGATGGCACTCAATCTGTTTCATAACCTTCTCTGGAACCAAGTCCAGGCTAACAGACCTGTAGTTCCTTGCCTACTCCTTATGACTCTTGTTGTAGATGGGCATCACATTGGCCACCCTTCAGTTGCCTGGGACCTCTCCAGTTTGCCAGGACTGATAATTAATTATGGAGAACAGCTTGTCAAGAAGAGGAGAAATTGAGCCTGCCTCAAGGGTGTAGATTTTTGCACTGAGCTCTTGGCCCTTCCAGAGGAAATGATACTGCTGTGAAATGGAAGCGGCTTGCAGCCCATCTCCCTGCAAAACTGTAGGGATGCTCCTGTGCTACTCCAGGCTTCTACAGAGGCTTTTCCTGCTTCCACAGAACCTCTCTCACTATACCTCCAGGTTTTCACTCAAAAACCTGCATTTCCCCCTGGAGAGCAGCTACTCCACCTTCAACCCGAGCCTCCCGCCATTGCAGCAGTTATGTCGCTTTTATTAACTCGAATAAAATGAGGAACACTTATTTTCTTGCTTGATTCGGTCCTGTGGGACCTCAGGAGCTGGATTTTCTGCACGACTTCACGAAGGTATCGGGTAACCTTGAAGCAACCCGGCAGGCGGGAGGGGGTTGCATCTCCTGGTGAGCTTGACAGAGCCTGGCCTGAGGAGAAACCCACCCCCTTCCTCAACAAGCCTCTGACATTAAAGGAGAGAAATAAGCAGAAAACAGAGAAGCGAGTTAATTAGTTGCATCTTCGCCGGATCACACTTGAGAGATGCTTTTACAAGGGCAGGCTTTGCTGCCTTGCTCTATCTGGTAATGAGCTATTTCTCTCCAAGCCAGAAAAACTCAGAGGGGATTTCTAGATCTATATAAGAAAAACTATACAACCAAAGAGAGAAAATATATCCCTATCCTGTTCTATAATTCTGTGTCTCTATTACCCTGGACAGGTTTCATATATGAGAAACACACACACAAACATATCTATATATCTATACCTATATCTATATCTATATCTATATCTGTATCTATATCTATAGCTATAGCTATAGCTATAGCTATAGCTATATCTAATCTATAGCTATAACTATATCTATATCTATACCTATATCTATATCTATATCTATATCTATATCTATATCTATATCTATATCTATATCTATATCTATATCTATATCTATATCTATAGCTATAGCTATAGCTATAGCTATATCTATATCTATATCTATATCTATATCTAATCTATATCTATATCTATATCTATATCTATATCTATATCTATATCTATATCTATATCTATATCTATATCTATATCTATATCTATATCTATATCTATATCTATATCTATATCTATATCTATATATCTATATATCTATATCTATATCTATATATCTATATCATCTGTATCTATATCATCTCTTATGCACATCTTTTCCACCTGGTTTTGTGGGCTCCCAAAGGGAGTTTGAGAAACTGCTGTCTTCTCGCCCCGAGTTCAAATGGCCCCCAACACAAGTCGCGTCTGGGGCCGGCCCGGCGGAGCCTCAGGACAGGGATCCCGCAGCCTGTTCCCCGCAGCATCCCACGGTCTCTCCGCACAATTTGCGCGGCTGCGCTGCGGACCCCGCGGCTCCGGGCCGGCTTCTGCTCCTACGGACAGAGTGCGGGGGGAGCGCCCATAAGGTTGATATTTATAGAAGTTGAGAGACACGGAGAGCGAGGCTCGCTTTGACCACTGGCACAACGGGGAGGGTGACAGCTTCAGGTGGGCTGTGATGAAAATCCAGATATTTCCTGTCCTAGAAGCTCATCCCAGGTGACAAGCGTATTTTTGATTTCCCCAAATTCGGGAAAAAAAACCCTTTTTTCTTTGCAAGGTTAAGTACTGGAAAATCTCAGCACACCGGCTAAGGGGCACTCGGGCTGTAGAAGGAGCTGTCCTTTCTCAAATAAAAGCTGTCCGGAGTTGCAGGGTTTTCCACAGATCGGGCAGGGCAGGGACTTAGCCCGCAAGCCGCAGTGCCAGCGGGTGCGGACAGCTTGGTGTGGCGTTGGCAGCTCAGTGCCCGGGACTGCACTGAGCTATCAACCTCGGGGGCTGCCTGGAAGGCTCAGAGGGTATGAGTGGAAGTCAAGTATTCCTTCTATGAAGGCTAGTGTTTGCAGAATGTCCAATCCCACACTCATCCGAAAGCAGTTTCTGTACTTGGGGGTGAGCCCTAAAGCCCGGGGTGCTGCTCTGGCTCACAGGGACTGCTGAAAACGTTTTCTCAGCGTTTAAAAATAAAATAAAATAGTAACAAGTCCTTTCCTTAGACAGAATACCTATACGATGGACATCCTAATTCAGTTTTAAAAACAATGACACAAAAGAAGGGATTAGTTCGACTCACTCATTTTGAGCTGAGCAAAGCTTGATTCAATTCCAGTTTTAAGTGTTCATTCCACAAGTAATTTAAGGAAGTCAGCTTGTTAAAAAGACCCCCACGCCAAATACCAAGCTGTGATAGAAATATTTGAAGATAAATTAGATTTTTCCTCCTAGCTGTGGAAGAGCTAACCCTTCTGTATGTGTGTGCCTGAAGTGTGCCTGAAGTGTGCCCTTGTTTTTCTGTGTGAGAGATGCAGAATAAGACAGAAACTTTGAGGTTAATCTGTCTTCTTCTTCTAAATGCATATTTGAATATTTAGACTGAAAGATGATGACACTGGGGAAGCTGAGGGCAGCGGTCCACAGGCGATTGGGCA